GACGAGGAGCATCAGCAGCAGCAGCTGTCGTCGGAAGTGAAAACGACGACAGTCCCGATCAAGCCCAAGTATGGAACTATCTCGACGAAATTGAAGAAGAGCACGAGCTCCGAGGACAAGTACCGTCAACGCGTCACCGCCACCAAGCGGAAAATATCCACCCCGAGCAGTGCCAAAAAGTATCAATCGATAATCGGTGACAGGTACAGAAGGACCACGACGTCGAGCAAGCACAAGAGATCGACGCTCGACGGTAAAAAGTATCAAACGACGAAATCGAGTGACGCAACGACGACCGTGAGTTCTACGGAGAAAATTTCCACGACGACGACGATGGCGTCCACCAGGCCAATGACGATCTCGACGAAATTAACGAGTCAACAGACGGCCCCTACGCCCGCGACGAGTCCATCCACGACGACGGCGGCTCCGACGACAACGACTACGAAGACAACGACGACGACGGCGGCGGCTACAGTGGCCAGCGGAAGGCAGAGGCAGTTCACGAGTAGAAGTAGGACGCGAGCCCCAGGAAATCGCCACACAACCAGCGACGATAATCAGACGACCTCTTCGGCGAAGCAGCGTCGAACCGCCCAGGTTAAGGAAATAGATCGCGCGACGGTCAACAATTACGATCGCGGTAATTCATACTTACTCCATGCATACCAAGCCTCTCTTAACAGCGAGTTCACGAATCCTATGATGTCAGAGTATTCGGCCGAGGTAGTGCAAGTGACGGCGCCGAATCATCGCTACGACGACAGCAAAGAGTCACACAGGCCACCGCCCAGCTACACCTTCTCCGAGGAAGACGCCATCGACCATGCATCGGCACAGCAGCAGCAGCAGCAGAAGGAACACTCGAGCCAATCGAAAACTCAATCCGGCGAGGAGGTTCAACCCTCGCCGACCTTTCATCACGAGGAGATTCATCACGAGCTGCCGCAACACCACCACCAGCACCAGCACTACACGAAAACCGTGACGGTCGTGAAGAAGGTCCCGGAGCCCTACGCGGTCGAGAAGACCGTCCACGTTCCCGTCGTTAAAAACGTACCCTACGCCGTGGAAGTGCCCGTACCCGAGCCCTATCCCATCGAGAAGCAAATACCCTATCCGGTGAAGGTGTACGTGAAGGTACCGGTGAAAATCCCCAAGCCGATGGCCGTCTACAAGGAGTCGTACTACCCGGTTCACGTGCCCGTCGAGCGGATGGTGCCGCACAAGGTCTACATACCCGAGCCCTATCCGGTCGAGAAGAAGATCTACTACGAGGTCAAGGTACCCGTGCCGGATCCGTTCCCGGTCGAGCGACAGATACCCGTGGCGATCAAGTACAACGAGCGAGTGCTCCAGCCGGTTCCCGTCGACAAGCTCGTTCCGTATCCGGTCAAGTTCGAAGAGGAGCGTCCCGTGCCGGTGCCCGTGCCCAAGCCCTATCCGGTCAAGGTGACCAAGCACGTGCCCTATCCCGTGGAAAAGGTCGTGCCCTACCCGGTCAAGGTGAAGGTGGAAAATCCGGTGCCGGTGCCGTACGACAAGCCGGTCCCGGTCCCCGTCAAGGTGCCCTACGACGTGCCCTATCCCGTCGAGAAGGAGGTCCACTACCCCGTGCACAAAAAGGTACCCTATCCGGTCCATCATCACGAGGAGAAAAAGGACGTTTTCGGGCACAAAGGCGACGCCGACGAGTCGCACGAACCCGCCAAGGTTCACGAGGAGTCAAGCGAGTAGCAGCAGTATAATCCATCTATTTTACTTTATGCCTTATGAGATATGTCTTACTTCGTATTTTGAAATAATTCAGTCATTACGCTAAGTTTTTTCAAGCAACGTCGCACGAGAATTCATGTACAATATTGGTGTGATATGTGCTGTGTTAGGTACGTTATAGTTCGAGTATAATATGGTATTATTTCGAATTATTATTATACATTATTGTTATTGTTATTATTGTTAATATTTATCACGTAGGATTGCGCATGAAGCTTACTTCATTTACCGCAGACATTAATCCATAACGTTGTGCTTTTTTTCTCATGTATATTATAACGATTTTAGCGCAACGCAGATTGGAAAAAAATAAAAAACAATTCGCCAAAGAATAAACACGCGTTGGATTTTCATTCGGCAATTAACTTTGCGCAGCAAAAAAATTATCAAACTACAAAGTATTCAATTTAATTGATATAATATGTATATAATATATATAGCAGAAGTTTATGGAAAGGCTGTCGAAGAAATCGAGATGAAAGTTACGGCTAATTATGCGCAGTTACGCTGGCTGCAGCCCGCGCGTGTATATCTACGTGTGGTTGCTGTGTTACTGTTATTCTGTTTTTTTTTCCGACTTCTCGACATGCCGCAGTGATCACCGCAGAGCTTCTCGCACGCGCACGCGTTAAGTTTTATTTATCGTTATTATAATCGAATCGAAAATCACAGTTGCGTGGAGATCGGGAGAAGAAGTCGCCAAAAAGCTATACGAGATTTCTGCCTAGAGTCCCCCGAACATCGTAAAAACAAAAGATATAAAATTGATTGACAGTATACTTGTGAGCTCTTAGTGCAATAGACCATTGTTGTTGTGTATATATACGTATATCACCGGATGAGAAAGTAGCGGTCAGGTATAAATAATGCCCAAGGGGTCCGCAGCCGCGTCATTCGCCAACTCAGTCTCAATCTACGCTGCAGCTCCGTAAAATCTACGAGCGCACTTTGTCATGGGATTCTGGGTTAGTAATTCATATCATTTACAATCGTAATAAATCAAGCCAAGTGTCGAGTATGCGATTACGATGCGATGTACAATTTGTGATGTACAGTGATAATTATAGTGCCGATTTAAAGTGTGTAAATAATTGTCTCGACTGATTGTGAGTAAATCGAGAATGAGCCGCTCATCGACTACTTGACACTTGAAGAGCTTTTTCTTGAATTAATAAATTTTGCACATTGAGGAAAAACCAATCGATGTTTTTGTGTTGACAGCTTGTCAGGATCTCAGCGATCCTGCTGTACGTCAGCCTCGTGATCAGCGAGCCAGCGGCCGCAGTCAAGAAGCGAGAACCAGCAGCAGTTGGCCAGTCGGTGGGGCCGAAGCTCACCGAAGCCGAGCTCGCCGAGAAGAGGCGCGAGCTCGAGCGCGCGGCCGAACTCGCGGTCGAGCGGGCCGTGGAGAAGGCCGCCGAGCGAGCCGTCGAGAAGGCCCTGAGCAATGGCAACTCCTCGACCATAACGGTCACGACCAAGGAGGCCTACTCGAACGCCAAGGCGGTGGCCGAGGAGCAGGCCGCGCCCGGGGCAGAGTCCACCCTGCCCGACGACCCGCCCAAAGTCGCCTACGACCGCCAGTACGGCTACGAGGGCGGCTACAAAGTCGACACGTCGGCCGAGGCCGAGCAGCTGGGCATCTCCAAGGAGTCGGTGAACTCGAGCGTCGAGAACAACGAGGAGGCGGCGGCGTCGGGCGAGGCCTCCGAAGCCGCCGACGGCTCGGCCGAGGCCGCGGCCGGTAGCGCCGAGCACGACAGCTACGAGGTCAGTGACGTCGACGACGACGAGGCCGAGGGCGGCGGAGACAAGGCCGAAGGGGACGCTGGTAAGGATTTTGATATTGGCTTTGACACTGATTTTGACATTGATATCAGCGGCATATCGAGTCTCAAAGGCGATTTCGGACTGAAAAATACCAAGACAATGTCGAACTCGTACTCGAAACCCAAGGACGGATTTCCACCCGGACACCTGGACATAAACCCTGAAGAGGGTGCCACCATCTTAGAAATGTACGCCTCGGATTTCGGTGGCTCGGGATGGTCGAGCGCCAAGCAAGACGGCTGGGTCAGGCACAGGCCGCTCTGGGACGACAACAGCCAGCAGCAGCAGAACGTCGGCAGGCGTTACTTTGAGAATTTCGGAGAAAAAAATCCCCAAGAGGCGAAAGCTCAGGGAAAGAAGAAAAGCCAAAAGCCGGAAGAGGAAGCGCAACAGCCGCAACCGTCCGAGCATCATCATCGGAGGATAAAACTGATACACAAGCGAATGGTGGACAACTTGGACATGTACGGGGTACCGTTGACGGCGCACTCCATCGACTCGTCGGCGCAGGCAGGTCTCTATCAATTCCTGCAAAAGGAGATCAAGCTGCCGGTGCATAAAAAGCAATTCGGGGCGAAAACACCCGCGCCCATGAAGGTTTACCTCACCATACCTGTGCCCTACGTGCCATCGAGGGGTTTCCAGAAGAGAGACGAGAAGGACACCATTAATTTGCAGTTACCTTACAACGCGGTACCGGAATCGCCGAAAAGTTTCAACGACGAGGTAAGCATAAATTATACGTTCGGATCGTTTGATTGTTCTACTAAAAAAAAATCATTGGTAAATGTTTCAGCTGACGGAAAGTGAATCCGAATCTATCGAGGACAAGTCGAAAAGCTCCGAGAAATCGAGCTTGGAGAAGAGGAACGTCAGGTCGCACGATAATTTCAGCTCCGGCAGTCACGAGAATCAAGAGGCGAGTGACATCAAGCTAGTTAGACCGTCCAAAGTTCAGACATTGTCAAACAAAACGGTGACGAATGTTGAGAGCACAATTGCACCCACAGTGACTGAATTTAACAATACTTTTGGTAATTTTTTAATTTAAAATAGGACTGTAAAAGTTTTTAATGTATAAAATCTAACGTATTTCCTTTAACCGATAAGATTAACGATTTTTCTTTACGATCGCAAAGGAAAATATTAAATTTTTACGCTTCAACGAGAAAGATACATTACTAATGTAACTCGATTGGAAAGTAAAAAGATTTTGTGTTCTAAAGCATCGGAGAACGCAGTTTAACTTTATATCATCATCTTACATATTTTATAATAAAGTCATTTTCATTGTAAATTATAAAAATTATCCATTATTTTGTTAGCACTTGAAAAAATAAACGAGTAGCAAAAAATACATTTTTGAATCAACGTGAATGCATTGAACTACTAACCTGATGTACGGTATATTGGCTGGAATATGATACTTGGAGCCAGGATCGAAGTCATCCTCGGAGCGAAGTATCGGTGGCTTGATTCCCGAGTACATCTCTTTGAGCCTGTGCCAGTGGCAATTGTACTCCTCTCTGCTGATGGTACCACGGAAAATGTCCCATCGCCATTTGTCCAGGGCAATGCTGTAGGGTAGAATGACTAATTTTTCCATCGCCAAGGAGAATAGATAATTGATTTCGGCCGATCGCTCGTCGATGTACTTGTCGGCCAGGCCGAGAGTCTGTAGGTGCTTGGGCGTCGACACGCTCAAAGCGATGGCCTCGCCAACGGCTTCGTGGAAACCTGCGGCGCAATAATTCGGTGATCGATTAATTCTCTGCAATTTTACCGTTTTGTAACGACAGATCGTTACAATAATATAATCGCCGAGCTATTATTTTGCAAGTTTTCGCGTTGAATATTTTAAATCTATGTTCACTTTCCGAGTGAAAGTTTCCCACTTGTAATGAAAATTTAAAGTTCGGTTTTATTACGAGCTTCGCTCCACGGCGCACAGAACTAGCCGCGTTTTCGCTTCATTTCCTGTGTCGCCTTTACAGAGATAACAACAAAAAACCACAATTATCATTTCGTCGTAAAAATTAATGTGCTAATAGTACAGGAATTTCGTTGTTTCTCCGCACAGAGAGTTTTATCTTTTGAACGTAAGCATACACGGTAGCCTTTTTTGCTCTCACCTGGATTGGCACCATCTCGGAATTCACGCGGTAAATGACTGTAGCGCAAAAAGTATTGGATATGGGCCATCTCGTGATGCACCGTTATCAGATCTTTCATCGTCACTTTCGTACACATTTTTATCCTAGATAGAAAATTTTAATTTCGAGTTAGGAAAAGGTAACAGAAATCATGACGCGAAAAATGAGTTGTCGTTACCTATAATCAATTCTATTACAAAAGTCCCAAGCGGAGGCTTGGCAGATGAGTGGACGATCGCCAGGATCTTCGAGGAAGCTTCCGCCCCAAAATTCTGGTGGAAGTGCGCTTAAATTTAGCGAGAGGAAAAAGTCCTCTCCAACTTTGAACATATCTATTGGAAGGTAGCCCTGAAAATTATTCGAAAAAAATTATTATAAAAAAATTATAATATTAGAACTTCCGCTACAGTCGTTCTCGGTACGCACCTGAGCTTGCATTTCCGCTGTAGCATCTAAATAATTTTTTCCTGGATACGGCAGGGTTGCGTCAATGATGTTTGACCAAGACTGACCCCATATATTACCTGTGGAAATGAAAAGTCGTTAGAGTTCAGCTGTGTGTCTCGATTAAAATGATAAAAATACGTACCGAGTAGATGCGATGGTAACGGAGCATGACCACTGATTTTTTCGGGCCCGTAAAGATCCCTGAGCCTCTTTCTCACATAAGAATGAAGCTCCTCGTAAAGTGGCTTGATTCCCTCCCAAACTTCGTCTATTTCTCGTTCGAAATTGGCCGATTCGTAGGGAAATTGCCAATAGTCGGCGGCGTCAGTGAAGTCTGGATAGAAAAAAGATTAATCAATATTATGCACATAATCAAAGCGACGTATAAAACATACTGTTCAATCGAGCTGCCTCGTTGTTTAATTCGACCAACTGGTGATAAAGCTCCTTCATTTGCGTGCCGCTGCGTCGACGCCACTCCGTCCAGACCCACTGCAACTCGTCCCAATCGCGGCTGCGGGCCATGATCGTTGATATTTCTGTTTCGAGAAAAAACACGAGACTCGGTTAGGATGTCGGTAATTGGAACAAACGATGCACGATTGGAAGGAATTAGAATTACCTGGGAACAATCGTAAACCGCAGCGAAGAGGATCTTTGTAGGCGCAAATGGTTGCGCTGTTGTAAATCGTCAGCATGTCGTTGATGATTCGATTGTACTGTAAGTAAAATAATGCAGCAGGATGTGATGCGAGCGAGTGGGAACACGTGACAACCAAGCGATCACTTACCCTGTCCAATTGATCGGGTGGCAAGGCCGCTGGTCCAACGGCCGACAAGTACCTCAGTCTTCTCCGAATAATCGGGTCTCTCACGAGGGTCGGATCGATTTGACTGATCTGCAGCCAGGCTTGGAATTGAAAATCGGCGAACAGCCTCTGAGCTTGCAGCTGCGAGAGAAGAAAAAAAAATGTCATCATCGAGGTCGCATTTCTTTAGCGGCTCAAAAGCCGCACGAGTAGCGCTGCAGCGGTGTATTGCGTCAATGTCGCGCCGTTCACGCGCATACGCGATATACTGTAATATCTATTATGAAGGAATAGGTAACTAGGCAAACACACGCAGGCATGCAAGAAGCACATCGCGATCGCATATGCACACATGTACGCATACGTAGTGTCATTTCCTCGGCGTGGTCTCTCTCGTTAGAGCCGCGTGGCGTTTTTTCCTTGCCGAGCATTATAATACGCGCGACTCCATGGCATTAGAGATATAAATTGTTTCGTTGGGAGGCGCGAGCGCGATTTTCCCACCGTGCGCCAAAGTTATATATTGCTTCCGCGCGTACACGATCTTCTTTGACGATTCCGCGTCGACAGTTCTATAAACACTTGGCTGCACTTTCGCGATTATATTATTTACGTTGTAGATGGATAGAGAGAGAGAGAGAGTTTTTTTCTCATTTTTTGCGAAATAAATCGGTAGAGTGCGATATGGATCTGTTGACCAATGCAATAATATTTAATATTCGCGACGGGTTGCTTAATGCGCGAATCGACGAAATCGCTTTACGGCCACGGGAAATTCTTCGGGGTATAAAAATTATTGGACTATATCTCAATAAATGCAAGAATCGTAATTATATCATTTCGTTGCATTCGGTTCGCCGCACGGATCACTTTTAAGCATATGCGCGAGGGTGTCTAATTTAGAAGCTATATCGAGACAACTCCATCTCTGACTCGTCGCGTACACACGACATCCGTGCGTGTACTTGTAAAAGGCCTATCAACGCGCTGCACTGCGGCGTATGCTTATTATACATTGGCCAATCGTCCGCCGCCGCCGCCAACACAATAGGTCCGAGCGCGAGAACATTTTCCCGCGAAGGAAGCATCTTTCGCTCCTCGTCATTCCGGGTCGAGGTTTTTTCTATATTTTTGCGCGCGGCTCTGTGTGTCTGTGGGATTGCGACGACGCTCGACGAGACTTCGACTTACATTTTTCGCACAAAAACGCGCTGATTCGATTATCGCGTGTTTTCCTACGTGCATTATAAACGAGCGAGCGAAAACAAAGTACTATCTGTCTCTCTCTCTAGATGGAAAGAGAGAGAGAGAGAGAGAGCACGACTATTACAAAATGACGATACGTTTGTTATTCTAAGCGCGTCCGCGGCCATTTGATTATGGAAAAATGCATAATGTAAAGGTAAAAAAGGACGGAATGGCCGTAAGAGCGCGTGCCTCGACGAAGCGCGTACACCGCAGCATTGTTGTAGCCGAGCGCGCTGACGCCACCGAGTACAACGAACCCTTCTGTTTTTTGACAGATCGAGGTCGATCGATATTGCGCCGATAAAAGATCGCACACACGTCTCTCCCTTCTGTCTTTTCGTTCGCTCGCTCGAATTATTAAAAGCTCGCGATGGCCATGCGCGTACCTCGGTGAAAAAAAGCTCGCGATGTGCTTAATTTCTTTTATATTTTTTCAACGCGTAGGCTCGTAGTAGGTATACTCACGGCCTGGAGCTGGGTGACCTCGTTGACGTTCGTCTCGTAGTTCCACTGGGCAGCCACGTTGGCGCTGCATCGCTCGGCGCCCAAAAAGTCCAGGCCGGCCAGCAAATTTCTCAGATCGATCTCCGGCCGACGCGGCGACGTCGGAGGAGGCCCTCGGCCCCGATTGTCTGGATAATTTTGAGCGTATCGATCGTCCTCGTAGGGGATGTCGTCTGGACGCGGCGTCGCCAATCTGCCCTCGCCGTTGTTTCGTGGATCGAAGGGATTGTCGTCGACGGGGCGTCTGGTTACACTGCCTTGATTTACCCGAGGATCGTAAGGATTGTCATCGAGAGGACGTCTAGTAACGCCACCACCTTGATTCACTCGTGGATCGTAAGGGTTGTCGTCGAGTGGACGTCTGGTGACGCCACCACCTTGATTCACTCGTGGATCGTAAGGATTGTCGTCGAGTGGACGTCTAGTGACACCGCCCTGGTTTCCCCGGGGATTGTAAGGAAGGTCCTGTGGATACCGCTGACCATCAGCGTATCTGTAGCGCTGCTCATCTTGAAAACGACGATCGTCCTCGTTTTGGCGATCGCCTTGGAATTGAGGGTTACGTGGGTCAAATCGATTATCGTCGTCCCTTAAAGGGGGAAGATCTAATTGACCGGACGAATGATGGATGCAAAACAAAATAACGAGTACTGATGCCGTCCACTGAAAAAATCAGAAGTTTTTATGATTATGATTCTGGAATTGGTTCATTTATTTATGAGCATATCAGCATCCGTTAGTACAATTGCGAAATATCATTAGTGTTTGAAAAAATATGAGTGTGTAACATTGTTTATTAAGTAGGTTAAAAATAATTCAATTATATCACAGTTTTGCTTTCATCTTTATTTGTAATCTTTTCAAACGTCATTGCGAAGTTAGTCACTTAAAATTCGTCACACGAAATAGGCATATGTACGATACTATTTGCGTAAATACAGCTTAGTAGGCTTTTTAAGTCGGAGCTAATTTAGCATATAATACGAGTAAGAGATAAGCTAAGTTAGTGGTCGGAGGAACAAAATATTCCGAGAAAGCGATACTTTGGAAAGTTGCATTCTTAGCTCGAGTAGAGCATAGGCACGTTTATGAATGGAAAATCATTGAAAATACAGTTTGAAAATGAATGGATCAAATATACGAATATTAAATTTTCAATGAGTTGAAAATTTAACTGGTTAGAAGAATCTCAAGTTTGATTATTTATTTAGCAATTACAACGAGCATTCATCTTTATTTTTATATAACAAATTATGATAAATGATTTTTCCATACGTAACGACATCAGATAAGATCAAATCTGTAATTTGCCATTTTATAAATTACGCTGACGGCATTTGTTAATGTAAACGCTTTAAACAACTACAAATGGATGTACACGCGAAGCATTACTCATGCCCTCGCCTCGTAATTTTTAAACAGCGATCGAGGAAGTAGCTTGGACAAAATTATCCGTCATCGCGTATGGGTCGCGTGCGCGAAATCGTCTCTTTGAAATCACGAATATAATATCGAGCCGCGAGCACTCAAAGTCCGCCTGCGCGAGGATGTCTTGCTGGATGTAATGCTCGCGGGAGATATACATAAGTTACGCACGAGCGGGCAGCGCTCGATCCGTGGAACGCGTCCTTACAGTACCTTGCGCGCCGCGGCGTACACATTATAATATCCTCGCGATCGGCTTTGATTCGCTCGGCAAGGCCAGCATACGACTCGAGTCGATTCGTTCGATGCATCACGCTACGAGACTTTATGGTTTTTTCTACGTAGCTTCGCGCTCCGCTTTAATAATATAATACTGGCTCCTCCCTGTATTTTTTCTTCGCGCTTACGTATGTATAATGCGAGCGCGTAATATGCATAAAACGTGAGAAACGTACGCTTTACTGGTTCGATGCTCTATATAGGTCGTTCTCGCTCCTGCACCGACTGCTCGACTCTGAGTGTGTGTGTGTGTGTGTGTGTTTGTGTCTGCGCGAATGATATAACAAACTATGACAAGTGTGCATAGTCGGGTATAAACATACTTGAAGACAGTTGAGGTATGTCAAGGGAAGAGATATTTCACATTGCATTTTACTTTGCTACTCGAGTGTGCATACGTATGTTGCGCGTTATACATAGATAATAAGAGTGTCCCCTGCGAGCGACACGTTCCGATGCTAAAATACAAATATGAATCATTCGCGCGCTTCGTGAATCTTATCGCCTTCGGCCTTTTTATTCGCTTCTGCGCTAGCCAAGTGTAGAAAGCTCAAAGAGGCGCAAGCGTGCGACAATTCGATACAATTGAAAATTAACGCTAATCCGTCGGAGCGACTACACTTCGTTCGTATACGTGTATGACTTTCTACAGGAAAACAAAAATTAATCTCTTTCTCTCGCACGCTCGAGTTGCAGCAAAACCATTTACGCAGTGAAATGATATAAACTGCGTATTGCGGGCCTAAATTTTAAGATTGACACATACGCATGATTATACATATGAAAATTCACGCAACGAGTGGCATCACGACTCGCGGATACCTGTGCGTAGCTATTGTACCCGGCACGCGAGACATGTGTCACAATTGTGCACTTCACTAGGCTCTTCCAGTGCGTGTGCACAAAAGAGAGGCAACTTTAAAAATTGTATACACGCGGCCGAAAACAATATATAAAAGCGAGTCGGAGCCAGGACCGTTGTCGTCGACGAGTGAAATTCAGCGCAATCCGAGAAAGGGAAAATTTATGATTGGAAGAAATTTCAAAGACTCGGGAGAATATTTTTAAATTGTTCTCTGCGTTTCGTATTGAAAAATCAAGTCACGCATAACTTTTCAGGCAAATATTTTATAGATGTTTGAGAAGATACGTTTGAAATATTCATTTCCATCCAGTCTTTGAGATTAATTTTACATATCTTCCCTGTTTTTGTAAACGTAACTAATGGGTTGCGCTATGATTCAAAAATTGAAAAATCTCGCGATAATTTAATTAATTAATTTTGATGAAGCTTGTATACGAGTGAAATGAATTTTAATTCACTGCTATGTTCATTGAAAATAAGTATAAAAATTAGTATAAAAAAGCTAGAAAAACTTTCATCAAACAAAAACAGCAACTATTTTCCCTGAAAAACGTTAAAGAATCATTATCTTGTTGAGTAAAGCACGCATCGAAAAAAGCTCCGTGAGTATCTTTGAACGATAAAGCTCAACAGACTCTGGGACACACGTACAAAGTGCAAGGTGATCCAGCGACGAGGGACGACGCCGATCGGCCACCGCAGCATCTTGTATGCAGCTTTCTTCCTTCCGTCCGAGCGAAGCTTGTCCGTTTTCTCCAAGTTGCGCGCACACACACCTCCGAATCGATACTCAATCGCACTGCACTCGATCGTCAAGACGCCTCGCGCGCACTCTCATCCGCGAAAGATCTGCTGCAGCACATCGACGCACATGGGGTACCACACACGCGTTATCTCTCAACGTAATCGTCGCTACTATATGGGCTGCTGTCCGCTTTGCTGCGGCTTGCGTACGCGGCAAGGATAGTTGTAAAACTAAAAGCTTCGCGGCTTCGTACGGGAGGATATATATCCCTGCGCGAGCTAACGACGCTTGTATATACGTAGGTAAGTGCACACGTTAAAACAACGACACATACGGGAGGTCATCGCAAGTCGTACACACACAGTAGTCGCGTCGCGCTTGTGCCGGCATTATCAAAGTGGGAGTACGTACACACACGCGCACACACACAGACAATCGCGTCGTGCGTCGCGGGCGCGCATAGGATGTATGCGGATCTACGCGAAGCACACTCAGGTGAGCCGAGAAGAGACACGACAAAACGTCAAGGTGGGGCGCAGCTCGCTCATGGAAAAAATAAATATTTCACGTCGCAGTTGATTTCTTTTTTCCGTGCGTTATGACGTCCTGTGAATTATATATAGGATAGAGCGATGTTGATTTTTTTTCGCTGCCCCGGCGCTCTCTGAAATTTCATGCCCGGAGAAGAAAAAATTTTTCGCACGCACTGCATTTGTTATTGTAACAGGGCCAAAGTCTCTGCAACAATAATATATACGTATGCGTTGGGGGGAACATGTAAATCTGTGTTGTAATCACTTATTCGTAGCAAAGAACGTTATTTATGACCACCATAAATTGATTCGCAGCAAATCTCCACTGCGATCTTTCAATTATATGCACGCGTTCGACTCGTCGATGTTGTATTATTATACGCCCAGTGTACGGGAAGCACCTTACAGCGTCAACATATTCATTAGCAAAGAGTCACACTTACTTAGCAATGTGTAATGTGCGCGGACTTGCGCGCGCGAGCTCGCCGAAGCTTGCGACACGGCTTGCGGTTTAGGCTTGTGCTGTGAAATTCACCTTATTGGGTGCAGTACGCGTGTACATGTGTGTATGCGTCGCGCCGGGATTGCACGATGTTTGCAGATTCGACGAATATAACGCGCGTCTTTTGACCACCGAGAAACCTTTGAATATTACGAGCCGTGCGCGCCTGTTTATGGCTTAAGGATCTAGGTCATTGCCGTCTCTGTGGGCAATTTTCATGGGCTCTCGACGCTGCGTTACAGCCAACGTCTTTGCGACGAGTGCTAATTAAATTGTTTTGACAATTTTGAGCCATTTGCAATAACATCATTTTCGTTCACCCGTAAAAAAGACCATAAAAAACACGTAATCGATCATTTCCGTAGACTTTTTCTGCGGAGACGCTTTCATGATATTTTTTATACGCATCAGGATGACTCACCTATGGCAATCAAATCAAACGGCCACTTAATTCTAATCGTAATGGTAAAAAAGTCTACGATGAATCAGAGATTCGCGCTTGCTCTGAATTTCAATGAACGTGGCATTCGCTGATAAAAAAAGAGCACCGTGTGTGCACTCCGCCATCAACGTGGAAAATGCCATGGAAATTCGGCCATCGCTGAAAAATGCGCGCGAGCTCGACCTCCACGGCTGACGACGACTTGCGACACGCTCACTGCGCTTTCAAAGCGATGCGATAGCGTCAGATGCGCCGGCGGACCGGCGAATTTCCCACACGTTGCCGCGGCTTGTCTCTGTTTATAAGCTACTGCTTCCCATTGTGCCTGCTGAAATGTATACAACGATAACCTTCGTACTTTAGACCATGCCAAATACCCCCCCCCCCACTCTCTCTCGCTCTCTTTCTCTCTGCCTCAGTCTCTGTCGTACTTTTCAAAGGGAAAGTAATAACTTTTAATCGATTTGTTGTTGCAACAAAATATTACACTTTTGAGATAAATTTCACTTGTTTCAGTCCATTTCGGTATCGTCACTACTATTATTTTCCCATCCTGCAAGCAAATGGAGAGAAGATTATCGTGCTAATTTCTCGACTTGTCGTAAATATTTTTTCATAGCCAATTTAGCGATATATTGTCATGGGCTCGAAAAAAAAAGGAAAAAAACGAAAGTTACGAGTGAGCATCGCGCGCGCGAGAGGTCTTTATAATCTACATGGGAGAAAAAGGATGTATGCCAGGCGAACAAACGATTCTTTTCAGGTAGCACAAGCATAACCTTGACTCGGTGAAATACATTTTAAAATTTTTAAGTAACTTCTTAAATGCTACTGTTAAGCATATTACGAGTATACATTCGCGAAGCAGTGTCGTTGTCGAACACAAAAAAAGTCCACTTAGCAAATGTCTTTTCTCTTTCAAATGTATACAAATTGATCATAACGCTAATGGCAAACAGTTGATATACGTGTAACTCGGCTCGTTTCACCATGGGAGAATTTATCGCGCGTACGCAGCATTCCTAAGACAGATACTGAATTCTGAATTGCTGCGCCTCCGATTAATTACTCTTCATACATATTGTTTCTTCCGTCGCCCGCGTTTGATATTCAAACATTGTAGATCACGTGTAAATCGGATGTATCTGATCAACTGCATTAGAACCATAATAGATGGCTTTGGCCTCGAATTCTTGAGTGCCAGAAAAATGTCATTACATTTGCATAACGATTGATAGTCCAGATGCTCGCTGTAGCCGATCGAAATGATTTCATGGACACGTTAACGTGTAATTATGGTAGGTGAAATTTTTTCTTCTCAAAAGAGCCAATAAAAAAAATTATTCAAAAAAATTACATTGTGTGCGGCGATAAACTTTCAAGCTAACGAAAGAATTGCTTTTCCGAATTGCAAGTGACTGAAAAACTCATCCGGTTATTTTATTGTTGCATGCTTAACACCATAGTTTTCAATGGAACTCGCACTAGGTGAATTGCCTTTTTTCAATAGATTGTAATCAGTAACATTTGGTTTTATCGCAACTGCAAAAAAAGCATGACGACAAAAGATATAATAAATGTCACAAATTAGAGCTATTTTAGTGATTGTTTCAAAATTTTCTTTTTCTCTTTTCTTTCATATATGTACCATGTAACAAAATGTTTTTCTGCATTATCGATTGACTTTCACGAAAATTTAGTTTCAACGAACGTTCCTTTCACATACTTAAAATAGAATCAAACAGCAAATGTTTATTTTACAATATTTTTGAGGAAAAGTAGAAATCCCAGTTGCTGCTAGTATGCAAAAATATGTTGTTGCTGTGTTGTTGTTGCTATTATGTAAGAGCGAAGACAGAGCAACCGCTCCTACGAATAGTATAAGTTGACAGATAAACACTCTACTTGATACGAAATATCTAGAACAGAGAAAAAAATGTTAAACTGCCAGCGTCGAGCAATATGAAAAATTTCCTGCTAACTAATACCTGTCGGTCGCGAAAGAGTACACCAAATGTGAGTGTATACTAAATAATAAAGACGTACTTTTATAAGTATCAATGAAAGTGCAAAGTAGAACACTTTTTCACACATTACATTATTATTTCGGTTTAATTCACCATATTAATTTTTTCCATTGATCTAGTTCTGCAGACAATGATAAATTAGAACCAACTAAAATATCGTGTGTCACTTTGGTTATAGAGCACTTAGAAGGTTCATTAAAAAACATAAAATTTAATTTTGTGTTTTTTAAGATTGCCTTATTAACAATCGAAATTTAACAAAGCATACTGGTTCAAAACTTTTCGAAAATCGATTTTTCGCATTGCATAATTGAATCGCTTATACTTTCATGGTACGTTCATAGTGGTGGTATTCCGTTGGCGAGTACGGTAACTAACAAAAAAAAATGTGACACAGCAGTGACGAAATTAATATGTAATCCCTCGTTTGGCTGAAATCAACACGATTTTCTGGGAATTTTGCGTACACAAATCGTACCTTCAAAACGACCTACAGGACGTTTAAAAAAATTGTAGAGAGCTCTATTTTTTTTAAATTACTCGTTGAAAAGAGTAATTTGCGATGGTGTATGTTAGATTGCAATAAAAAAATTACTGTAGTTCATGGACACGTTTAATTTTTAGTGTTGCGCTCAAATACTACTGGTAACTCGACATTGACTCGAATCTTATCATAGTATATATAGATTTAAAGAGGAAAATTTCCGAAGAAATCAAAAAAAATATCGTGTCGACACGATAAATATAGCCCAAGATAGAAGCATTTGAAAATCGACAAAATTTCGATGAAATTTTTTGTTGGGATAATTTTGTTGCCGAGTGTAGAAAGGTAGTTTTACATTTGAACCGGGTAAATTTCGTGCAGATGGCAATTCAAATTTGCCCGATAATTTAAACTTTGAATTACTAAAAATGGCCCCGTCACTCTGGGAGCCGTGTAAACATATGTCGACGATCTTATGCCTATAGCTTGCATCTACAACTGCCTGTAGAACGAGGGAAAAATACTTTTTAAAATTAAAATGGGAGGTTCTTGTATGATTTGGCCTTTTGATTCGAACATGTCAATCATCTATAGCTCCCACACAGTATGGCATACCTCATTTCTTACAGAATTGGTTTGAAATAACTTGAAAATCCGCAGTCGTGGGGACAGACATGTGAATGGTTGGAAGACATCCCAAATTATGTCCATGCAGCTTGCACTATCCTTGACACCGTGGAAACACCCATATCGAAAGAAAACGATAACAATATCTTTTTATTTCTACTACCTTCCTATACTTCTCACTTTGGCCGCTAGGTGGCCAAAAAGCAAGGATCGCGCTCCATCAAGTGACTGAACCGCGCCAAGGCATAAGAATAGCCACAGCATGGTGCAATGGGGCAATTTAGTTCTGTAAAATACGTAAAAATTTTTTGATTTACCAATAAGGTGCAATATTGTTCATCGGGTTTAAAAAGTGTATATAAAGTAATATTTACTTACGAGAGATGATTCCATAAGACATTCTTTTGTGTTTGGATTCCTTTCAAACATTTTTTTACTTCTTTCAGTTTTTGAAAAAGCCAAGGAAAAGTTTGGAGTTGCCATTTATTAATGTCTTTAAATAGAGGAAGTAAAAAAATCTGCAGTGCTGAATTCATCCAGCATGAATTTGTTCCAGCTGGATTAGGAAATCCGATGTACGTTGTTGAGATTTTCTTATTTTTACATGTCTCTTTGTTTGGTCAGATCGTCTGGTGAATAACATATAATAACAATATTTGCACGTAAAGTTATCAGAAAAGTAATCAAT